AACAACCCTTTTCTTTCATCTGTTCCCCCTAAGGATTGCCCAGTCATTTCTCCACAATTTTCTGCTCCCAGCTCAATTCCTTTTTTCCTTTGTCTTATCACATCTGAACAATTCATTGCTCTTTGTTAAACTGGTACATAAACTCCTGGGTCTAACTGCTCCTTTGGGGTTTTTCTTTCTTTCTATGGAGACCCCTATGCCACATAAAGATATTAATATCACACAAAATTATTATGCTTTTTCTCCAGGTCTTGACAAAAGACAGAACTTAAGAGGGTGAAGGAAAAATATTTTTCCCCTAAAAAATCAAGCAGGCCATGAGCGGGAACCATGTCCCCTCTCAAGGTGTGAAGGGATCAGCAGAGATTGCTCTGTCTAACCTGGTGACTTTGCAATGTCATCAACTACAAAGACAGCAGCAGAGCAGCATGAGCACTCCAGATAGAATCAAAAAGTCCCAAACAACAAGTGCTGGCATGGATACGGAGAGAAAGGAACACTTATAAATGATTCACTGGGACTGCAAACTAGTATAACCTCTATGAAAGGTAGTAGAGAGATACCTCAAAGAAGTAAAAGTAGACCTACCCTTTGATGCAGCAATCCCACTACTAGGTATTTACTCAAAAGAGAGAAAACACATTAAAAAAAAAAAAAAACACTTGCACTTAAATGTTTATAACAGCACAAATCACAATTACAAAGATGTGGGAACAACCCGAGTGCCCATCGACACATGAGTGGATTAATAAAATGTGGTACATGTATTCCGTGGAGTAGCACTCAGCCATAAGTGATCTAGTATCTTTTTTTTGTAACAACCTGGATGGAAAAGGAGAACATTCGTCTATGTGAAGTATCACAAGAGTGAAAAAACAAACACCACATGTGCTCAGCACTATTTGGAACGAGTCGATCAACACTTTTGTGCACATCTGGAAGTAAAACTCAACAGAAACCAGTAGGTGGGAGGGGAGGGTTGGGTTGATTCACACCTAAGGGGCACAATACACACATTCTGGGTGAAGGGCACACTTATAACTTTGACCTGAAATGTACATAAATAGATTATATAAGCAAGACCTGGGTACCCCTGTAATATTTGGGAATTTTTAAAAAATCAGGATCAGAGGAACCTGATCTGTCCTCAGAGGAACCTGTCTCTGTTCTGATGTGTACATGAGGCAGCAGCATGCCAGAGAGAGGTGGGAATAACGCGGAAGAGGGATATACTTTGGGCCTTTATGGCTCTGAACGTTGTGTCATAATAATTATTTGGTACAAAATTAAATGAACATGTATTGGGAAATAGAATGATAAGGAATAAATTTGACCATGAAATATAGTAAAGTATTCAAGTAGCATTTTAGATGCAAATAAATATAACCATCTGAAGGTAGGGGAGAGAGTAAGCTTGACTCAAAAGCGGAACCAAAACTAAATATACAGAGGAGGGAAAGCAGAGTTAGTTCAGTTTAACACCAACTGGCGCCTGTGAGCTGTAACGACAATTACATGTCTAGTTTTTTGCTAGATTTGGATCACAAAATCATATTTTGGTTTGCACATCTTTGAAAGAAAGTAAATTAGCTTTGGGGTTATCACCGGGAAAGGGCTTGAAGAACCTAACAAGGTATCCTCGGCTCCCCGAATCCCTTCCAAACTGTAATCGCATGGAAACAAGGAAAGGGAAAATACTGGCCTCACTAGACATGAAATGAGCAGTTCTATGGGGTCACCCCTGGGGAGACAGGTGACCACAGGGGTGAACTGCATGGAAACCCAGTGGAATAAAAGACAGAACAACAACAAGAAAAAGAATTATTTGGGATTTGAATATAAATCTAGGCTAACATCTATTGTAAGGATACTTCAACTTTATGAAAAGTTCTGAGGTTCACAGATCTGTTGTTTACCCACTGATGTGTTTGCTGACGAACAGAAACAGTTTAATTAGTGTTAATGGTGCCTTTTCTCACCTTCTCTCCGTCTCTGCGAGAACTAATTCTTAGCACGGGTTATGGCAGCTGCATCCCGTAACAGCACTGTGAATGAATGGGGATGGCAGCAACCGTGCCGCCCACTACTCCAGCCAAACCTCTGTCTACACATTTAGTTTGCCAAGTAGAGGTAAGACTTCCTGGAGGAAGAAAGGCAAAGTAGATCGTCAACAAAAAGAACATCTAATTCAGTCTTACTGTCTCAAGCCAATAACTTTGCTACAAAAGTAAACTGGAAATTGTAGTTTTGAGGAAATTGAGACACAAAGAGACCGTCCCAATGTCACACACCCAGTTCTCACAAAGCTAGGATTAGAATTTAAGTCACGCTTTTCTTGGGGGAGCTGGAAAATATTCAAATGAACTGACCGTTAGGGATAATAATGCATGAACTGATGACACCTTGGAGGAACCAGTTGTGTTTTGTTTGTTTGTTTGTTTGTTTTTTGAGATGGAGTCTCAAGCTGTTGCTCTTGGTAGAGTGCTGTGGCATCACAGCTCACAGCAACCTCCAACTCTTGGGCTTAAGCAATTCTGTTCCCTCAGCCTCCCAAGTAGCTGGGAGGGATCTGCCACAACACCTGACTTTTTTGTTTGTTTGTTTAGCCGGCCCGGGTCAGAATTGAACCTGCCAGCCTCGGTGTATGTGGCTGGCACCAGAACCAGAGACTTTTTAACCTAGAAAAGGGAAGATTCAGGGACATGATAACCAGTATTTTCAAATACCTATGGGACTGGTAGAGAGAAAAGGGTTTGCATTTACCTTAAGAAGCAGACCACACAAGAAACATGGTGGGGAACATAGAGAAAAGACTTTAAAAGTTCAATGTAAGATAAAACCTTTTAAACAGAATTAGTTTAAACAGTTTGTTAGGGGATGGCAAGTTTTCTGTTCCCTGGGGCATTTCAGAACAGACTAAAAGACAATGCAATGAGTATGTTTTTGTCTACAAGAAAAATGGGGGTAAAGGGTATGGAGGAGAGAATTCAGGCATGAAAATCATTTGGATGGGGTGACCTGTAAGAGTATGTGATTCTTTACAACCAAATTCTGGGACCAGAGAAAAGTTTCATTCTTGTCTGTAAACTCTAAAACCTATCTTCTCATCTGTTTGCAATAGTTTAAATTTTAATCTATTTCATATTTCAGGGTATTATGCCCTGAATATTTGATTTGAATGCTGTGGCAGAAGGTCACTCATATTCATTTATTTTCTTTTACTCTTATACACTTGCAGTGAGTCTTTTGAATCCATTATGCAAACAAATGCAAATCATATGCAAATGATCCAGCCTCAGATAATGACAAAATCTTATGGCCTTAACTGAGCCATCAAACCTTTCTTTAAGAAGGAAAGTAATATGCCTTTCCAACATCTCTTGGGCAGGAGACAATTTCCTGAGAGTGATATTTACATGACATTGGAATTGGTTCCTCACTGGAGTCTTCGCCTCACATTCTTCATATTTATGTAGGGCTTTAGGGGTAATTCAGCATTTTCACATATATGCTCTTATTTGATCCTCATAATTATCTTGTGATGTAGGCAGAATGGGAATTATAATTCCTGTTTATCTGATGGAGAAATAGGCTTAGAGATGTCAAAGGACTTGCCCAAGGTCAGTCAGTTGGTAAGCGAGGCATCTAAGGCTTAGAACTAGACCCCTTCCATGGATGCCTTCTTTGAAGCAAGGTGATCTGTCATTGGTCTGAGCTTGCTTAGTATGTTTCATCAATAGCATCTTCAGAGGTGATTTTGCTAATGAAGATGGCATTTTAAGGGGACCAGAGAAGTCCACATCTGTGTAGCGGGCCTGGTGTAGCACCAAGCATGTAGTTTCTCCAACCCCTTTGTTTTTCAGCATCTGCTCTCAAACCTCCAGGTGAAGTACATTCTTCACCCCATCAACTCTCCAGCTCCTTCAGGAGGTAAAATTCTTTTTTAAACAGTGAAGAGTAGTTAGTGGCACAGATTCTGTCGTGATCTGAAACCTTAATCCACCACTCTCGGGTTGTGGGGTCTTGGAGAGGTCATTAAATTTCTCTAAGCATCAGTTTCTACTTCTATTAAATGAAGGAAATAATAGCACCTCTTTTGTAGAATATGTGCAAATATTCCAGGATAGGGAAATGTACCAAGATCAAAAATAAAACCTGGCACAGCGTTTAACACATAGTAAGGGCTCAATAAATGGCAGCCATCTGACTAGCGGTCGTAGGATAACGTGATGGTGGTCGTGTCTGAAGACACTGTGAGCTCTGATACCCAGAATGGGACTCTTGGTGATGGAATGGGAGAACAGTAGCACTGAGTATCTCCTCTATGCCAGAGAAATGCCCAAATGTCCACCTTTCTTAATCACAGTGCTAGCACCACAGTGAGAGTAATTAAAATCCTGCTTCAAAGCTAATTTCTAAGACTTAGAGCCAAGGTGGGCAGCCTTAACTCTGCTGTCCCTTAGCCAGGCTCTTCTTTTTTACGTCCCCTTCTTCCTTGGGTCAGGTTGAGATGGAACAAGAGGAGATTGTACCCCAGCTGCTTTAACAGGCCTGAATCATCAGGTTGGGAGATGGAGTAAACTTCCTCCTGGGTAAAGACCAGAGCTAGGGATGCACGGCAGAGCAGGTGTACACTCAAACTTCGCCCCTCTCCTGCTCCAAGCCCTGGATCAGCAGATGCCATACCAGGGCTCAGTTCTTCTATCTGCCTTCCTGGCATGACCTGACACCTCCCCTAGTCACTCACTTAGGACAACTCAAAAAGTGGCCCCCTTGGTAAGTATAGCTTCCAGCTTAGCTGTTGGAGTTGGCCAAACCCTTGGGGCTGGCACAAAATCCATCAGAACCATCACACTGAGAGTCGGTGTGGCCAGCCTCAGAGGGCTGCACAACTGACTTCATGTTTGCCAGGAAATGTACTGGGTAATTCTGGGGGTGGGGTCCTCAGTTATTTTTGGCAAATTGAGTAGTATGCAAAAGGGACTTCCCATTTTTACAGCACAGAGTCACGGTGCTGAACAGGCAGCAGCATTTCTTGTTCCAAGATCACCCTTCTGAGCTGTTCTCTGGCTGCCAAATTGCGAGGGCCATCATAGTGTGATTCAATTTCTCAGCTCCAAGCATCAGATAAGCCCCCAGATAAGCCATCCTGTGATGGCTCTTGATGTCGGCTGCTTCCTTTTGGCTCTGCTGTGTTCTGCCAGCTGTGAAGTCATCACCTCCTTGGATCAGACGTGCATCGAGGTGAGTCGAAACTGTATGTCTCTATCCAGATTAAACTGTCCGGAAAATTTTAGATTCCACATGCAGTCCCATCTGAGCCTTGGCATCCTAATATCCACTGTCTTTAAAAGGGCAAGGGGCAGAAGGCTGAGGCAGAAGGATCCCCTGAGCCAGGAGTTGGAGGCTGCAGTGAGCTGTGTCATGCCATTGCACACTAGCCTGGGTGACAAAGTGAGATCCCGTCCCAAAAACCAAAAGGGAAGGACATAGGGGTATAGAGAATTTTTCTTTTTTGTGAGAAAGGAGCGAAAGAGCTGAGCCAGGGGATTATCTGGTAGCACTGTCCTAGGGAGGTGTATCCCTCCTCTTAAACAATAATCCCCCAAAGAATCCTGATTGGGACATAAAATATCAACAAGAGCTCAGAGCAAACTGCAGATTCCGCCCCCCGCCACCTGCCTCTCAGCATTGCAGAGCTGTTTGTTCAACCTCCCCAAAGATGGCTCCTACCCCCAAAGAGTCTGCTGGCTTCCTGCTCTCAGGGTGAGAATCAGTAAACCTGTGCCAGGTTTCAGAGCATTTAAAGATCACTCTGAGTGATCCTGGCTCCTCCTCGGCTTGGACTGCCCTCCATCTGCTTTACTAACCCACAGGAGTGAAATCTGAGCATCGAGCCAAATTGCACCTTCTGTTTTGTACCATAACAATATTTATCAACCTGTGGGAAGTTCTCGGGGGGGGGGGGAGGGAAAAGGGAAGGGCCTCAGTTTCTTGCCATCTTCTAAATGCCTCAAGCCTCTTCCCGTCTCTGACCCTGAAAGTATGTAGCACGTGGCCTGCCAGGCGAAGGCTGCAGACAGGAAGGACCCTGGGTCTTGGTGGCATGGGTGGGCTGCCTTCCCAGGCTGGGGTGGAAAGCAGAGCAAGAGGTAGGACCGGCCAGGTGGACGCAGGCCGAGACAGCACTGGGAGGTCAGCGGATGATCGGGAGAGCAGGGCAAACCAGACGGTCAAAATCATCGTGGGGATGGGCTCGGGGCAGACACGGCAGAGCCCGTCAGTCAGTATTAGGAGGGAATCAGCATTAGCCCTCGAGCAGGCGTAATGCCCAGGGGAGATAAGGCTGGGACATGTGTTCCTTTGCTTGGACCATGACAAATACCACAGACTGGGTGGCTTGAACAGCAGAAATCAATTGTCCCCCAGTTCCAGAGGCTGGCATTTCAAGATCAAGGTGCTGGCAGAGCTGGTCTCTCCTGAGCCCTTTCTCGGTGGCTCACGGAGGGCCACCCACTCTCTGGGTCCTGTCACAGCCTTTCCTCTGCATGAGTGCCCCGGTGTCTGTGTGTCCACATCACCTGTCAGATTGGACGAGGGTGTGGCTTTATGGCCTCACTCTATCCTATGCACCTCTGTGAAGACCCTGTCTCCAAATGCAGCCACATTCTGAGATACTCGGGGTTAGGGTTTCAATATACAAATGGGAAGGGAGACACAATTCAGCCTGTAACAGAAGGGGAAGGGCAAGCGAAAGGAGTTTGTTTTTTTGAAACAGAGTCTCACTCTGTTCCCTGGGTAGAGTGCCATGGCGTCATCATAGCTCACAGCAACCTCAAACTCCTGGGCTTGAGATCCTCCTGCCTCAGCCTCCTGAGTAGCTGGGACTATAGGTGCCCACCACTATGCCTGGCTAGTTTTTCTATTTTTAGTAAAGATGGGGTTTTGATCTTGCTCAGACTGGTCTTAAACTCCTGAACTCAGGTGATCCTCCCACCTCAGCCTCCCAGAGTGCTAGGATTACAGGTGTGAGACACTGTGGCCAACCCAGGGAAGGAGTCTTCTCAGCCCCTTCCTCACTCAGGTTGGAAGGTCAACGTCACACATGAGTAGGCAGCATGATAAGGGGGTAAGAGTGGGGACCCCACCCCCTCAGGGATGCTCCTGATGGGATATCACCATTAAATCCCAGCACACCGGGAAGCGGGCTGTCTTACACACCCTACTCTCAGACCTCTGAGTCCAACTCTGAGATGCCCCCGCTCCTGTGGCTGCCTGTTCTGAGGCCTTTAGTACTATTCATAGCTCAAGAGTGGCGCTCAGGGTCCCGGGGTCTCCTAGCTGGGCCTTGTGCTGCAGCGGGGGCTTCCGCACCGGATAAGCCAGCTGAGACTGAAACGTTCCAATACAACCAGCTCCCTGTGCCTTCATCTGAAAGAACTCTTGATTTTAAATGACCTTGTGGTCTATTCAATTAATAGTGGATCTTTATTTTCTTTTGCCTCTTCTATCATGTGTGAGTTCTGAGCTGCAAATTCGAAGGCAATTTATTGAGCCCTTACTGCTGTGTGAATACTAAGGAGAGAGCCGGGAGATACAAGGCTGAATAAGAACTGCTTCTGGAGGGTGAGGAAGGACTAGGCTGCAGGCGAGTGGGGTAAAAGGAGGAATGGTCACAAGAAGAAAGTTGTGACTTTGACTTAAGGGTCCAGCCCTTTCTCAAATTACCCGTTCTTGACCCTGCCCTTCCCCCTTGCTTTCCTTTCCTCTTTTGTTCTTCCCCTCAAGCATACAAAGCAAACCGCGGTTGTCTCTATGTTCATGTGACCATCATTACCTTATCAGCCTGTGAAGGAACGTCCTTCGGAAGAAGAATTGGAAAGAAATCAACTTTAGTCCAGTGAATGGTTTGCGCACCAGGAAGACGCAGGCGGAGGGTTTGGCTTTTATAGAGTGTTCCCACCCTGGCTCCCAGTCAGGTCTAATTATGCAGACGAAGGATTCAAACTTTAGTTCTAATTAGTTGATGTAGCTGAGATGTGATTGGTCACTGCAGCTGAGTCCGGATTAGTTGATAGACCTAAGCTCTGATTGGTCTGTACAGCAGAGCCCTGATTGGTTGGTTCAGGAAAGCTTTGAGAACCCCAAAGGTGTTTGCCTTTGGTGGCGGCTCAGGAGTGCTGTGTGACCTCGAGTTGGCAAATGGCTGCTTGGCTCTACTGAAAATGTAGTACTGTTTAGCCACCCAGGATCCATCCTGAAAAACTGGCTCTGTCAGGTCCACCTGTGTTCACATCACCTACCCTGCAAACAAGGTTTTTGTTTTGCTTTAAGTTTGGCAAACTTTTTGTTGAAGTCGAGCGTACATATCGGTCTTACACAAGTCTTAAGTGTGCAGTTAAGCGAATTTTAACCGAGTGAACATATGTAGCTAGCACGGGATCAAAACACGGAACATTCTCTGCACCTGGGAAGGTCCCTCATGCCTCTCACTGTCACCACCCTCCAAAAGCTCCAGCACCGTGGGTTAGTTTTGCCTGGTTTAAACTTTGTATATCAGTGCATGGGACCATGCAGTGTGTACTTTTTTGTGTCTGGTTTCTTTGGCTCAACATTAAAATTGTGAGATTTACTGATGATGTGTGCAGCCATTCTTTGTTCGTTTTTATTGCCGAATGATACTACGTTGTATTCATGAGCCTCTATTGATTTGTCCAGTCCACTGTTAATAGACATTTGTATTGTTTTCAATTTTTTAGAAGTTATGAGTGATACTGTTTTGGACATTCTTGTCTGTGTTTTTAGTAAACATACATAAATATTAGGTGCATACTTAGGAATCTATGTATTTTAAGGTAAACAAATGTTTAATAGATATTGCTAAATAGTTTTGCAACATGTTGGTGCCAGTTGACACTCATGGGTAATGTATTTGAATTCTAATTGCTCCATGGCCTCATTAATGTCTGGTATTGTTTTTAAAATGTTAGCTACTCTGATGAGTAGTGGTATTTCACTGGGGATTTTTATTTTTCTGATAATTAAACTGAGTACATTTTTATACTTTTGTTTGGCCATTTGGGTATTCTTTTTTATGTGTGTGAAGTGCCTATTGAAATCTTTTGCCCATTTTCATTTAGGTTGTCTTTTTTATTGATGTGAAGGGGTTCTTTATGTATTGTGAATATGAGTCCTTCATCAGGTTACACATATCTTCTCCCACTCTGTGGCTTGCCTTTCCATTCTCCTAACAGTATCTTTTGCTAAACTGAAGTTCTTTTTTTGGCATAGCTCAATTTATCACTTTTTTCTTTACTTTCATGGCATTTCTGTCCCATTTAAACCTTTGCCTACCCCAAGTCCACAATATATCCCATGTGTTCTTTAAGAAGCTTTTTCTTTCTATTTCTAGATTTCACATTTAGATCTATAATCTATTAATTGTATATGCATACAGGTAGGAGTCAAGATTATTTATTATTTATTTTTTGAAATAGTCTCACTACGTTGCCTGGGTAGAGTGCTGTGGCTTTATAGCTCACTGCAACCTCAAACTCTTAGGCTCAAGTGATCCTCTTGAGTCTCCCAAGTAGCTGGGACTACAGGTGCTGCCAGAACACATGGCTAGTTTTTAGAGATGGGGTTTTGCTCTTGCTCAGGCTGGTCTTGAACTCATGGGCTGAAGAAATCCACCTGCCTCAGCCTCCCAGAGTGCTAGGATTACAGGCGTGGGCCACCGCGTCCAGCTTAAGATTCATTTTTTAATAAAACTTTTTATTTGAAACCTACCCACAAGTTCAAAAAACCTTGGAGTGAACACCTGTAAACATCCCAGGTAGATTCTGCCACTGCTAAATGCTACATGTTTCTTTCTTTCTCTGCTTTTGTGTATGTGTTTATATGTGTGCATGTGTGAGATAATTTTAAAAACTAGATCCACGACCATGTCTTTGGAAGCTTACAAATAATCAAAGAATAGCTGGAATTCAGCGTTCTGTAATTTGGATTGTGGTAGCACTTTAGATGCTTTCCCACACAGTTACCTGGGAGTGTGGGCATGCCTCTCTTTTTCAGATAAGCCCATCTTGGCCATCCTGTCTCCTCAAAACCATGGTAGAAGAGAGTCCTTCAGTCCTTAGATGGAGGTTGGAGTTTGTTTAGCAGAGCTCTTTTTTGAGCAGAACTTCAAGTTCATAGACGCAAGGCTTCCCAATAGCTTAATGTAATAATGTGATGTTGTGGTG